GGGGGGGAAATGAGCTGATGCCAGGGGCTTACATGGAGAGCAAATGTTTTGAGAATGTTGAGGGTAATGAGTGTACAAATGTGCTTTATATAATTGATGGATGTATGAATTCTGATAAGAGTTGTATGAGCCCCAATAAAATGATTTAAAAAAAGAAAGGTAAGGGTGTGTGCCGGCAGCTATTTGAGGCTGAACCTTCTAAGCAGAGGGGACAGCATGTGCAGAGGCAGGAGGGAGGGAACGAGCTTGCTGTGGTGAAGAGCTGCAGGGGGGCCTGCAGTGTGCCACAGGATGAGTAATGTCACAGGCAAGCGGGAGGCTGAACCGGGAGGCCTGGTGATGATAGAGACGCCAGTTTTTACTGTGAATGACTTGCCGAAAGAGGAATGACATGATCTAACCTTTAGGTTTGTTTTTCAAATGTTATAAGCTGTTCAGACTTTACAAAAAAGTTGGAGCCATGTGACAGTAACATCAGTGTGAACAGGGTTGCTTTGACTGCCGTGTTGAAAGCAGGCTGAAGGGTTTACCAGGTGGACACTTGTTAGTCGATAATCCAGAGGAGAGAGATTGGTGGCCAGTTACCAGATAAGGGTGGAAAGATAGAGATGATTAAGAAGTGGTCAGATTCCAGAGCTCCTACGTATATTAGGCACTAGTCAAAGCGATTTACAAATAGTCCAAGACAGACACCGTTGCTATCAAATCCATTCCTACTCGGTAGCCCCCTGGGACTGAGTAAAATTGCTCTGTCAGGCGTCCAGTGGTGCACCGTTTACAGAGCAGTCTGGCCCATCTTCCTCCCGCAGAGTGGCGAGTGGATTCAAACCCATGGCCTTTTAATTAGCAGCTGCACTCAACCACTGGGCCAAACATTAGATCATTTAATTATTATAACCACCTTCTGAAATGACAAGACTAGTAGTCGCATTTTTCTGGGGATACGACTCGCCAAGCTCACCTATTCTTGTTTCCCTAACCACTTACTATTTGCCAGGCTCTCACTTGAGGGTTTTGCTTAGATTGCACCCCAGAGAGGCCGCTCCTGACTGACTCATCATTCTCTTTCCTGATTCCGCTTTAATTTCTTCCTAGCGCTTCACCAATCCTGGCTTAAAAAACAATAATAATAATTAAAAATGTTTCTCCACTTGCGACTGTCACTTGGCTGTCTGTTCACTGCTGGTAGTCACACAGCTTAGGACAGTGCCTGGGATGAAGACCAAATCGCGAACCCTCAAGTTCATTCCGATTCACAGGGAGGGACCCTGGAAGACAGCGGAGACTTGCTCCTGTGGGTTTCTGAGACAGTACATCTTTATGGGGCAGACAGCCTTATTGTTCTCTTGAGGAACAGCTGATGAGTTTGAACAGCCGACCTTGTGATTCTCAGCCCACCATCGAACCCACAGTGGCTCCTTGAATGAACAATAGGTTTGTAAAAATGCTGACCCTGCCAGCAGCCATCTCAGTGGGCCTTCAACTAAGCCCACATGGAAGAAGCACACCAACGTCTGTGATCCAAGGATTGTAAATGATGTAATCCAAATCCTAAGGAGGCAGCAGTCCCGGAGCTTAAGTTGTGAGATTCTGGTGTGGAGAAGACTATGGATGACAGTGGACGCCCAAAATACATTTGCAGGATCCACACAGGGAGTCAGTCTCCGGTGATTTCCCTCTGACCATCAGCGAGGGATGAGAATAGCAGGGTGACCAGAAAGAGGATTGGAGAGTCGACTGTAGTAGATTAAAATGATGAATCTGACTTGAGTGGCGAAAACTGTCTCTGATCTCTCTTTTGATATACTTTGTGCTTGATCTGGTTTTGAATATTTTCTGTGGGTTTTTTTTCCCTCTTATGTTGGGGTTTACCACTGTTGTGCTTGGTCATTATTGGTAGCCTTCTTGATTATCTTACGTATTTTTCTCTGTTTTTTTGGTATGTGAAACCTGGTGGGCTGGATGAATCCATAGACAACAGCTACAATAAGGGTTCCTGGGGGTTACGACTGGGGTGGGGTGGGGGGGTTGGTTAATGAGGAGCTGGTATCCAGGAGTACAAGAGGGAAGGAAATGGTTTGAAACGGATTGTGGGAGCAATTATACAACACTGCTTGATATGATTGGACCATGGAGTGGGATGATGTCTGGATTAG